ACCACGACAAGTTGAAGTTATTCCATCGAAGATCAGATTCTTTCACTCCGAGGGCGTAGTGAAATCTTGGTCCGGGGGTAAATGTAAGACCGGGTGTTGCACATATGTACTAAGTCTTAGAAGTGGTCAAGGGAATAAGGATGATTAGCCAAGGCATAGCTAAGACTAGCTAGTTATGACTAAACTAGTTAGTTATAACTAAGTTTATCTAGTCATGACTAAGTTTAGCTACAATGTCTATAGTTGGCGGAGTAATTAGCGGAGTTCTAGAAGAATGGAGTGAGCACTTCTATTTTGTCTTTTACAAGGAGTGAGCACTTCTATTTTGTCTTATACAAAAGTTCTAGATTCCAAGGGATTAGATATTTGACTAGAAGCTTGGATTTGATTGGTTTGACTAAATGTATGAAAGATGATTGGCTAGACTAAGTCTAATGTTGACTTAGTGGCTAGGAAGCTTGTAGAAGTTTAAAAGCTTCCAATGGCATGTCGCCACCTCAACCTTGGATTCCGGAAGCTTCTAGAAGGTTTAGGTAGGCCAATGGCATGTTGCCACGTAGAGAAGGTTAGTCAAACTTACCTAGGTAAAAGTAAGTTAGGAGAAATTACCACATGTTACTATGGTAACTTCTCAAGTAGTATAAATAGAGAGGTAGAGTAGCACCTCTCAAGCAAGTTTGGAGAGTCATGTGTGAGGACTTGTTTCAGTAATGAAGGAGTGAAGTTTTTGAGTATCTTGGAGTATCGACGTGTGTTTGCATTTATGTGAAGAGGGTGATGTGAGGAGAGTTGTGTGTGAGTTGGAGTGATACATGAGAGTTTGTAAGAGAAGGTGTTTGGGACATGAGTGAGAGTATGAATCTTAGTCTTCTAGAACCATGATGCGCTACCACAAAGCCATCAGAGGTAAACCTGAGTGAGAGTCAGCCCGGAGGTTGCAGGCCGAGCTTGAGCCTTCGCCTCGTTTCTGCTATACCGGGCCACCTTTCGGGGGAATCGGGTCCTGTCGCTGAGCGCGTCCCTGGTCGAGGGTCCGTGACCGAGCAGCGAGTCCCTGGGACGTTGCGCACGACGCGGATTCTGGTCCAAGGCTTATGCGGGGATGCCGTTGTGTTGGCCAACCTCGAGGGCTCGTTCGACGAGAGTTGAATTGCGCCGAATTGGGGTCGATTTCCAAGAGCTGGCGCCGGTGCACTGATTCTCGAAGGCAGATCTGTAGCGCTGGGCGAACCGGGGCGGTCGAGGAGCATGCGTCATGCTTTGGCTTGCCGTGTCTTTTGGACAATTGGATCCTATCATGCATTCGTTGTTTTGACTGTGCAAGTGTATTCGGGTCTGCTGCCGCGATTGAGGTCTGAATCAGTGAGGGCGTGACAAAGATAGAGGAAGGAGACGAAGTGGGAGCACGAAGCCCAGGTATTCCTTCGCGATCCATTTCCAACATTGCAATCGCTTTCATATTCCATGTTGGAAGTTCCCTTGTCTGTCGACTTGCGTTCGCTTTCTTCTTTCCGTCTTCTTTTGAGCAATTTTCTTGAACAAGCAAATCCGAGGTGGTCTTCTCGGACAAGGTTCTAGATAATCTGCACTTTCGCCTAATTGGCTCTTCAACTGCGGCATCATACTACACCACCCTTCATGATCACGGCAAGAAGTTCACTTGAATAGATTTTCACGGCTTAAAAGAGATAGCAGGCATCCACAACATCTCGTGTCCATATAGTACAAATGCAACACCACTCCCAATTCAGCTTCTTATACCTTTAACGAATCCTTCCCCTCGATTCCAAGAGTTTAAATCCTTCGTTAAATTACCGCACTATCTTCAGAACCTTACATCAAGTGCTCAGTAAAGGTCAAGGGGTGAATTGATACGTGGAGAACCGGTGATTCCATCTCCATTATTACTCTTTTCTACCTCTCTAAAATCGTTCAGTACCTCTTGAATTTGTTCACTTACTGGAGTCTAAGAGTGATCTGAAGTAACCAATGTTCTAAGTTACAAGAATATATTCTTAAAAAAACAAATACAAGAACATGTACAAGAATAATGTAATATAAGAACATTTATTAGAACTCATTGATGGCACACCGTCCGAGGGGTCCCATCGGGTAAAACGAAACTTGATGGGTCCCATCAAGCAAAAATGTTCTTGATGGGATCCCATCAAGCAAATATCTCTGTTTAAGATACAAGTTACCATCCTCAGTCGCGTAAATGGAATGCAAAACACATACGATTATACACTTTTGTTGGCAGTACTATCTCAAGTCAATCGCATTTGCTTTCAAGAAATATTGTATAAAATGTAGTATTGTCAATTGAGTGGGGTACTAATAAATTTATAAGAGGAATAAGAGGATAATCTAAATATTTTTTAATTACTATAAAGAAAATATGAGAGAGTTACTTATCATCAAGTAAACAATAATAGAAAAAAATTAAACATAGATTACACTATGTATCAACAGAAGTAACACTTGAATCAATAGAAATCTTTATTGTTTAATTATTTTGTTAATGTACACTTATTTGCAATAAATAAATTATATAAAAACTAGATAAAATTAATTTCAACATTGCATCTTATGAAAAAATATTTTAATTTTGTTTATTTCTACTTAGTAGATGCATATGTAAGTTTTGTACGAGAATCCACTACTTACCTAGAAGTAACTGATAAATGACTTAGAACATTGCTTTTGTGACCAAAGATTTCATACCTGAATACATAGCTTGAAATCATCATTCATCATGGTATAGTGTTACTACAAGATGGAGAATGATCAAAATCGGAAAATTTTCAAAAGATCATGAATTTTTTAATAGTTACTTGTTTGATGCAATGTAATTCATTTGAATAAAATAAATCCAAATCTTTCAAATCTACATTGATCCGTGAGTAAGTCACAATTTTATATTTTACATATACTTCTATGTTTCCAATTGATAATTTTTGAAAGTTATATCAACAATATTAAATATTCAGTAGGAGATAGGTTGATCTTGAACTTGTTATATATAGAAAATGAAATTATAGATAAATACATAGTTGAGATGATAAAGCTTGTTGGATGATATATAATCTCATCATTTACAAAATCACACAATATACTACAGGTACCTTTTCTTGCAATACATATTTTTTAATTAAGAATTGCATATAAAAAATTTCTATGAGTTGTAAATATAAATCATAGAATTAAAATAGATGTAAAAGTTCTAGTCATCAATTATGGAAACATAATGAAGGTTGTTTAAAAGTAAGTTCATTTTCAAAACTTAAAAATGATGTTGAGTATAGTATACTATGAAAGAATCTGAAAAGTTATCATATCTTAAAATGGATATAAATTTTTAAGCAATTCAATAATTACTTCAAAATAGGACTTTTGCAGTTTAAATAATGTATTATTCAAACAAAATTATCCGAAAACTCATTAGCTCATTGGGAGACATATTTTTTATTTTTTGTAAATGCATGTAGGTATTGTGTTTAATATGTTTAAAGTTCTACTATTTCATTCAGTTAATTAAAATTTAAAAATTGAATTTATTAAGCTCAGTTCAAAATGTAATCGTTCAGATAATCAGAACTGACCTCATCATACGATAGAAAACAATAAAATTAGAAATTTAAATTTTCTATTGATAAGTATTCATTATATATATTTTTTTAAATTATCTGTTAATGTATTTAAGTTTCTTCAAATATATGACCGGAAATGAGAATTTTATTAGATAAATATGACCCTATAGTTTTAATAATGATATTCTTCTGGTTATTTACATTCAAGTATCACTTTTTACTTACGATGCTAATTTAATTGACATAAATTGGAAATTTGAAAATTTCTATGTAGATTTAAACACAAAGCTATCACATTGATTGCTTCTTATGATTCAATTCCATCAATACATAGTAACATGAATTTTTGAGTGTACAGTAATATGGTGCATATTAGTTTGGCTACACCTAATGGAGTTGGATCGGTACAGGAAGGTCATCAAGTGTGATGTAATGAAATATTATTACAGTAAGTTGGTATTTCTACTATCTGTCTTGATAATATTTTTTCAGGCAAATGTAATTTTTGTTAAAAATTGAGTTAGATTTTGAGTAAATATAGTTTGCTTAATGAATTACAGTAAAACTGGAACTACAGCCGTTATACAAGGGAATTGGCAGTAACTTTCTACGACACAGAATTGAGTGCTTAAGTGAAACTTTGTTTATCCATGGCGGAAGTATCACCGAGATGAACTGATTGTCAATTATGCGTTCCCTCGTGACTATTTACGGACAACTTTACCTTGGAATCCAAAATGGAACTCATTTCATACTTTACTGTAAGTGTGTTCAAATCACATGGGTTTTGTCCTTTACTTACATTATTAAACTGTATTATGACTCGCCGAAATAATAGGAGAATCGAATCTCATACAAATCTTTAATTCACCAATGATCAAGGGAGAGGGTGTGATGATAATCCTCTAATGCTGATGTTGGAAGATTGACAAAAAAATCAAAATAATTGCCAAGAGCTTACCAGAAATTATGTGGATTTGAGGAGAAACACCTCAATATAAAACTCCAACGGAAAAAGGGATCGGCAGTTTCTGCATGAAATCAAGATTTCAGTAAACCAGTTGTCACTCGCAAAATTCACTCTGCCTAATAAGTTTCCATTAAATTCTTCCTGCTTCAATCACATTTCAGTTATTTGCAAAGAACACACACGAGCACAGTCCAAACACATCCCGAAGATTTGGAAAAACCACAGTTTGAAGACAGAAGTCCCTTAACATATAAAGGGTCGGTTGGGCAGGAGCAAACTTCGCGGACTACGGAGAAAACAGCCACGCATAACATATAAGGAGGTGTAACGATAATCATCTAACTCAAGACCGACGGTCGCTAACTGTAACCGAGATGCACTCGTCGGACTTATCGCTGTTATTAGGGTTAGGTCGAGAGCGGCATGGCTCGAGCGCTGGTCGAGACTTCGCGCAGAGTCTCCCAATCCGATCGAGGGAGAGCGGGAGCTGGAGATTGATGATTCGACAATTTCTGCGCAAATCATCGGAGGTGTCGGGTTTGGCACCCGGTGCTCTGTCTCGACGCGGGGGACGGTGACGAGTATTTTTCCACAGAACAGTTTTGGCTGGAATCGTGCGGGCGGAGGGTGAAAACAGAGTAGAGCGCGGAGGTATGGCGACAGAGGACGAGAGTGCCGTGAAGGAGCCTCTGGATCTAATTCGGCTGAGTCTGGATGAGCGAATTTACGTGAAGCTGCGTTCTGACCGCGAACTTCGTGGCAAACTTCATGTAGCTCCGCGTTCCCTCGCCTGCCATGCTTGAAGAGACTTCTACTTTTGCTGTTCTGATTGCGAATTGCTTCTTTGGAAGGGCTGGTGATAGTAGTTGTAGAGTGAGGTCGGATGACAGTTGAAAAAGACGGCTGTGTTGGGAGTTGGATTTGCTGTCCATGTTGGACTTGTATATCCAAATTGTGGTGTTGGTCTGTGAGTAACCTTGAGTGGGTGTCAAATCGGCAGGGTTTTCTTGAGGTCGCCACTTGGCTTGGCATGGGTTTGGGCATTTTGGTGGAGTGCCGCGTTTCCTGCTGTCGGGAATTGGCTATGAGAGCATTGTGTTTTATTTTAGTTCGCCAGTGTCTCTGTTCTCTTACACTGGACTCTATTTCTCATCTCGCAGGCATATGACCAGCATTTGAATATGATTCTTGGAGATGTGGAGGAAGTAATCACATCCGTCGAAATTGATGACGAAACCTACGAGGAGATTGTGCGGGTAAGACATTTCATTCTCTGTTTTGTTTTTTGGTGACCGTAATCTTGATGAGAAACCCAAACTTCAAGGTTTTAGTCTATAACATGCTTGAGTGTAGCTTAATTGTTTGCTGTGGACGTCGACCTTAGTCCACCCAACTTCGGCCGCACTCTGAACGATAAATTGTGTATCTCACGCAGACTGCGAAAAGACATGTTCCGTATCTTTTCGTTCGGGGTGATGGAGTCATTTTGGTGTCCCCACCACTACGAACTTCCTAAGTGGACGTTGTGAATAGGTAGGGTTCTGTACATTTCTTGTTCCTGATACCCCCAAGTAAACGTTGGAGCAAATTGACCAACTTTGAAATTTGTCGTCAACGACCCATTCGAGATGCTTCTATCGCCGAGCACAATTGTTCGATACCTAGTGGTAGATTGGGTAGTCAGAAGAATTGTAGGCCCAATGGAGGGTCTTTGAAGAAAAAAATAGAATCTCTTGTCCATAATCGAGCTCTCAGTTTCTGCGTTTCTTACAGCAGAATATAGTTTGTAAGTCTTTGTGCTACAGAATTTCACTGGGCATCTTTTAAAGCCCTTTGAGATCAGCCTTCTAACCTATGTTCCAAAGTAGTAATACAGTTTGTACTTGACAATACTGGCAACTGGAGTTAGCGGGGAACTGAAGAAATAGTGAGAGACGGAGACGGGCATGAGCCCGGCTAGCTGATATCTGGGAACGAGTTACCAGTCAAGCCTGCTTAACTCTGTACAGCATACCACGATGTAATAAAGTCCTACTCAATCAACATATGTGCTTTTTGAATCCGGTGGAAGCGCGGGAAAGGGTTTTTGATTGGAGTCAGACATAGAGAACTTAGTGGCATCTCAACTTGCTTGACTGTTGGCCTCGCCCAGTCCTGAAATGAGTGGGAACTCTCTTGGTGAATCAATTTTAACGTCTCATTGCTGGAGCTCCAACTTCTGAAACCATCTCCTTCGATACCGTCGTAGAAATGGACGTGTCACTACAGGAGATTGGAGCAGGCCGCTACTCGCTACAAGACTCATCATGCACTATGCATGATGAGTTTTGTGCCTCGAAGCTGTTGTAGAGAAGTGCAGCATCTATTTACTCATGTCAGATGTCTCGATGCGTAGTGAACGACGGACAATGCTCGATGAGCCGAACCTAGTAAAAATGATTACGTTCTCGATGAGGCCGGAGGTCAGTGTTGTTTTTATGTAATTTTGTTTATTCATGTACGTGTTGGGTTTGCTTCACGCTTGTCATCGGAATTTTTTCTAGTCTTTGAGTATTGAATGATCACATAGCTTGGAAGCTTCGAAAGTAACTGCGTCAGGATTTCTGAGGTCGGGATGTGTATAACAATGATTGACGTCTGGTTTGAAAGGAGCTATGCTGTGGGTAAGCTGAGAGCACATTTTAATTTGTGATAGCATCTTTGCAGTCTGCACTACTCCGGAATCACGCAGATTTTCTTGTGATTGGCATGTACATGCAGCGGGCCAGTGTTTTCCAGCCTGATGGAACAGCCGCAGGCAGCCCATTTATGGAAAAATCCATCTGATATATGTCTGCATTCGCACCCACTCACTTCTTTGAAGATGATGGAGCGAAGCCGTTTTGTGAGTGGAGACATTTTGAGGTGCTTACACTTCATCATGTACGCTACGGCCTTGATTTCTTGCTTATGTTGATGATTCTCAGTACACACTGTTGCGGATCCTTGGAACACACTCTGCCTCCTGGCTTACGCTGCCAAAATCCTATAAGTAGACTGGGCAAGTAATCATTAATCTTTACTTTCGCATTGCATCTACAAGTGACAACATCCACGACCTTCCAATTCTGGAAAATGTGAACTTTCTGTAAGTTACTGGCGATGCTCTAGCCGGGAGTCTCTGGTACCTCACAAGAAGTCAAGGACGGGAAGGGTCGGCTTTATTATCGCCGTAATCACCAAATGTAATAAAAAGCACGTCGAAATGTTCATCGAAGTGGTGAGGAGCCGCCCTCACGAGAAAGCGCTCACCGAGCATATGACCCGAGGAGTGACAGGCCCAATGATGGGCCTTCAAGATCCAAGCTCCGTGAAGCAAACGGTAGGTGTGTCAGCGCTGCTCGGCTTAACCGCCGCATTGATCAGTTAAGTCGCCGCGAGGGCTCTGCAGCAGCCTCAGCTCGTCACCTCAGTGACGCAGACGGGTTCACTCGGAAGGGCCCAAAATGGATGAGGGAATGCGAAACCTCAACAGACCAAACGATACTCGCAGAAATGCACGCAGGAGTCGGAGAGCTGCAGAGAAAAACATGCACATGCATGCCACCTTCGGGCGCCGAATGCCGAATTCGCCTCGGAAGCGCCGGTTGCAATCGCGGTGGCAACCGTGAGTCAGGTAGAGCGCCGATGTCAAGGACGGAACCACAGCCGACATTCGGTGGCGAGCGACGCTAGCGTACGCCCGCGAGCGAGCGGGGGAGACAGAAAAAGAGGAAGAGAAAGAGCAGAGAAGCCACGAAGGCCAGGGGCGGGCTTTACACTAAAGTGGGCGGGCATCCGGACATGGGGGCGGCATCTGGCGAGATTCACCGGAAGACGACGAGCACGGCACTCAGGCCAAGCGGCGCAAGGCGTGAAAGATGGCAGGTCCGTCGTGCTCACGTTTTCGGGACCCACACCACAACCATGATGTTCGGCCGTATTGGGCTCCATAGGCCTCCCTTGGGCTCGGAGTTTCCAGCAGATTATTAGCTGCCACTTGGGCTTCTCCCCAGTCCATCGTGGAGGATGTTGCAGCAGTCGGTCAACATCAGCCGGCGACCCGCACTGCCCTCTCGCGCAAGTCTGGATTGGCAGTGACTCCACTCCTGTACAGTGGCCAGATGCGGAATTCGACGAAAGGTCCGGCCCCGCTCGGACGCAGTGCCCGAGCGATCGCTTAGACAGGACTGATGTTGCGCGTGCCCATCCTTCCCCGGCTGAATCTTGCGATTGTCGGTGTGCCCATCGCCACCGGTGATAATTATTGGCATCTACGTGGTTGATCGCCCATTGAGGTACACCCCGACGTTGGCTGCTGCTGAGACTAGTTTAGTGCGTTGCATTTTCGCGTCTGGGCATGGTCTGGGATGGCCAATTATTGAACGCAGGAGCATTGTCTCACTGTGTTCGCAGCACCGCTCTCTCGTCATTTGGCTTGTTTCCGAGGGGAGTGATCCGCTATGTGATCGCGAGAGGCCGACAGCGCCGTGGCGACACCGATCGATGTGTTTTCCCTCGGAAGCAGCTGGAGGCGCTTTCTTGTCTCGGTGCTCTTTGCCCCTTTCCAGACCCTAGAAGTGGATCGTCGCTGAATCGTTCGACAAACTTATTCCCGGCCTTCCTCTGCCTCTTCGCACATTAGTTTAGGTGCAGGAGTTTCGCACGACGACGACCTCAGAGCAGTGCGTTTCTCGGGCTTCTGAGGCCATGCCGATTTAGTACGTAGTGCATGCGGTGGATCACGAGGCATCATGGATTGGAAGGTTGGCCTTTTCTAAGACTGCGGGACGGGGTTTTGGCCACAATGTATGATCGTGATTTTGAAACGTCCATATTAGTGATGCGGCAAGCACAAGATTTTTCCAATTCGAGGTCAGCAGGCAGTCCAGAAGCCCACGCAGACGTGAGTCTTGTGCTTAAGCTGCTGGTTCTTAACTTGTTTTCTCTGTGAATTTCCATCGTTTCCACTCTCGATCCCTAGTCCTGAGAGCTGCAAGGGTTTTGAGTGGCGCAAGTCTGACAGCGTGGGGGTTTCTGTTGGCAGGTGAATGACCTCTTCTGAAGGGGATTGCTGGCTGTGTAGAAAACTTTGTAAAGCTTAGACGAATGCCGCAAACTAATTCTTCAAAGGCTCAGTCGATGGCGGACTCTGTTCTTATGAGAAGACTATGGTGGTTGCAGGTACGAATACGTCCGTTTCTTGTGTCTGATAGTCTGACGTTCTTCTGGTGGAGTATCTCCTTTCCATTACAAGGAACATTGTGACGTTTAGAGGAACTGGTTTTGTAGTAAACGAGCGCAGATTACGTATTTTTTGGGTTGGTCTCACAGTTAACAGAAGAAATGCAAGGTATTCGAGCAGCTTTCATCCTTAGGATTCATGAGTAGCGCCGCGCACAGGAGGGATGAGTTTAATAATTGGGATCGATCGGAGGCAAGCGAGGAAATGCATAGAACAGGGAAAGGTTCTTTTGAGCCTAGTGTTCTTTATTCAAAGCCACGGATAAAGCGGACTAGCAGATAGATCACTGGACCATATTGCCACCTTTTCTCCTTAGATTAGGAGCAGATCTGGCACACTTGCGGAGAGCAATGTGTTCATGTTGAACACTGGATGCGTAGCCTGTGAACCTATGTGCATCTGACGCGGTGCGTAATCTCCGACAGGGCAGTGATGCAGTGCTTGAATTTAGGAGCAGGACAGCGTTCGAATTGACTCAAATTAAGGCTAAAATAATTTCGAACTGTAAATTTTAAGATCTCAAATTTCTAATTGCTCCTCAAGATATGCAGGCCGCCATAGATCGGGGACTCGTCGAAAATGTACAATTTGAAGCCCTTATTATAGGACTAAGGTCAATTTAGATCTGTTCTCGTCTTGAGACCTGCTCGTCAAGAGTGTGGCCACCCCAAAATTTCTTGCGAAAAGATGAATATGCAGTTCACCTGAAATTTCGACACGCTCGTATAAACCTAAGGTTTCCATGGGCGAACTCTAAAGAGGATTTTTTTTTTTTTAGTTTCTGACAGTGGCCTTTCTCCTTGGCATGCAGAGTTTTTTTTTCTCAACATGGATCTTCTTCTGTTTCAAGGTGATCAATGCTCTTCTGTACACTTTCGTTTTGTAGGCTGCAAATGCCGTAGTGCTCTACTTTTGCTCCCTTTATCAACATATACCTTATCTATCAGTTTCTATCTCTACATGAGTTTGCGCACTGAAGCAAATATTGTCCTTTTCAGGCTATAAAAGAAGCTATTTTCCTTGTGGATGAGGACTATAGAACTCGATTTCTGGGCGAAGTATTTCTTTATTACAACCCCATGTTCATGGTGGTCAGTTTCCATAAATTTCTTCTTTCTCTTTTTCTTGATTCTTTATCTACTTCAATTAGACCTACAAGATTGAATATTATTAGTATGAGGTAGTCTGTTCACAAAATAATTTTTGTTGTTCTTCCTTGCATCTAGATGATACCCAGTCATTGTGAGTGAGTGAAGTGAGAGCTCTGTAAAAGACTTAGTTCGAATCACTTGATATTAACGGCGGAAGTGTTTCGCAGGCACTGGTTCTTTGGTTATGGGGAATAAACCTGTACGTTTTCGCCTATTCTCGCATAAGCTACGCCAAAGTGTTTGATTTGGATCCAAGTCACCTCACTCATCGAGATATTTGGAAGGTTCAGTGTCCAATGCTTTAAATTTTTCTCCAACTTTGAAAAAATCCTGAGTAAATAATTTTGCAAGGTGGCAAGTGGAAAACGAACTCTTTTTTGTTTGTCATGTGCTTTTGTTGGCGTTCTCTCGTTCGAAGAGAAGCTCAAAGTTCGCTTCATGTGCTTGTAAGTTTTTACTTTTTAGGCTGAAGTTCGTGGTTTATGTGAGGTTCAAGACCCTTATTTATTTCTCGTGTTGTGGTATGCTACAGATCGCAGGGGGACTAACAATGACGGTGCTCACCAGTATGTCCTTGTATATGTACTTCTACTCACAAGGACAGTTAAACTATGCAGCAGCACAACCGGTAATACGAACTTGCTGCTTTTGAAAGTTTTGCTGTATGTCAACATGCAGTATATGGCGAACCAATGACTGATTTCTGTATCAGTTGAATTGCTTCTTATCTCTGACATTTGTTTGCAACTATTTTAAGAGGAAGTTGTAGCTGTCTTGGATGCATGGACGGGCACCTACATTATATTTATACTTTCACCTTTCTTCTGACTCTTCTTGTTTGTATTTTCTTCTACAGCTCTTTCTGTATTGTGCTTTACCACTATTTCTGGGGCTTCCACTGAACGTCTGCTACGCCTCATCGCGGTTTTTCTTTTTGAACACTCTTGCAAGACTTGCATTCCCTCTAAATGTAAGTCAGGCTGTGGTAGTCGAATCGAATAAGCCTATGTTTACGTGAACCACCTCTTTGGATTAGGAAGAGGACTTCATGTCTTCCTTAGTTGATGATTGCATATATTCAAGTTCCTGATTTCGAATGCTCTGTTGCAATGACTCATGGAAGGACATAAGACCAAGTTCATAAGAACGTCCATTCTTCACCCTGTATACTCATGAGAATCTTTTAGTAACCAGATTGGATCTGACTAGAGGAGACAGAGAGAAAATCTTGTTCATATGGTATAGGCAACCATGGTTTGGACAACCTTAGATGGATGAAAGCTGTCTGTTTAGCAAAAGCAGTTAAGATAACCTCTTTTACCTGCTCTGAAACGAAACTCTTGCCAATGGAATAATATCTTTGACATGTGCGTTGCTTTGCAGCCCATTACATTTGCAGATTTTTTTGTTGCAGATGTACTCACCTCCATGGCAAAGGTAATTTCCTATCTCAACGTGTGGACGCCACATCCAAGTTGCCATGTGTAAGACCTTTTGTTATTAGTAAGGATTTCCGCTGATTGACTAACCAAGATTGGTCGCAGGTCTTCTCGGACATGGAGCGCGCTCTTTGCACAATGTATTTTTACCAGGTGAATGTCCTCCATCATTACATCATTCCCCCTATATATACGAACATCGTCTAGATAGGGTTTGTCTAAATAGATTTGAAGTTCGCTCTTCATCTGCTTTACGATGAAATAAAGCAGGTGGCTTGCTGAGAACATAACATGCTGATGTCGTTCTGTTTCTGAGTAATAAGTGGTACTCTTCGTTTGCATCTTGTGAGTTTATGAATATGTCGTGAGATGGCTGCTCGACTTAGATCACAGCTCAAGTGAAAAACTAACAAGAAGTTACCGTGATGCAGGTTGCGAAGCCAGAGTTGGCAATCAGACCTGGGATGTGCGGCAGCGATTCCGTATGGATACCTTTTATCCTGGCATTTCCATACGCTTGCCGTTTTTTCCAATGTTTGAGGCAGTACTCGGACACCAGAGATAAATCTTGCCTTTTTAATGGTACGCTTCAACTTTGATCCGAAATCCTCGTATACAACAATGCTGATCTCATCTGTATACCTCGTTGAATGTTATCTTCCCTGCTTTAGTGCTTGAATGCTTTTGGTTCGAGAAATGACTGCTTTGTTTGGGGTGAAAATGCAGCTCTGAAGTATGCAACAGCCTTCCCGGTGATCGGCTTATCTGCTCTCAAGTACCACATCATGTGGGATCTTTGGCTCTCTAGATTCCGTCCTCTTTGGTTATTCTTCAGTCTCATCAACTCGTGTTACTCATACTACTGGGATCTTAGTCGGGATTGGGATTTTGGGTGAGTACTACTCGTAAAAGTTCGGTCCAGCTACCTTTTGATTTTTGCACACACTTGGTCAGGAGCTGCGTTCATGTGTTTTAATTCTGGAATGAAGACTTCGGAATTTGTCTCGAGATTTGACAGGCATGTTCTCATGTAAGCTTTCATCTTGATCGTTGGAGTTGTATCTGATTTGGGTGTTCGGCAACGCAGATGTTTCACTACTGCTTGTCAAAAGAGAAAAAATTCGGCACTTCGTCCAAATTTGTATTACAGCAGGCGATGGGTAAGTCGGAAGGTCTCTCTCTTTTCTCTGTCTCGCATCTCAACTTTTGATCGTTTCTCCCGTACGAATCTCTCTGATGACGTGCTTTACATGTGAACAGGTGTACTATTGGGCCATCGGGAGCAATTTGGTGTTGAGAGGTGCCTGGACTTACAAGCTATCAGCACACTTGCGAGATTATCGGCTGACTGCGTTCGCTTTCTCAGCCCTGGAGATTCTCCGTAGATTTCAGTGGATTTTTTTCAGAGTGGAGAACGAATTCAACAAGATGAACATGCGCGCCCCCGCGGCGTCGATATCTTTGAAAAGTATGTCACCCACACAAGAGAAAGAGAGTCTATTATCCTCTATAATTTGAGGAGAGAAGAGAAGGTGTTACAACCCGTTTTGGTCTTGCACGATCTTCGGTTCACCTCATTGATTCGTTCATGATATTCAGAATGGAGATGTGGATGCATCTTCTGCCAGTTCCAAAATTTTGGATCACTTGTCTACCACCCAAGCATAATTTTTTCAAGGTTCTCCATGCCCAAGACAGGCAGTCTCGTCAGCATAACTATCACTTCTCTTAAGCTGTTAGTTAGGGAAAATTTATTCACCGAGGAGTAACGAAGTAAGTTGATGTGAGGAAACAATGAGAACCAGGGAGCGGACTCGAGTCGGATTAAAATTAGTCTGGGATACTCTTCCGAGATGCAATTCTTGGCCTAGGTGAACGAACAGGCTTAGTCTAGTCCAGTAAAGCCTTATTCCATGTGAAATCTATCTTTTGGAAAGCTATAAGAAAATGGCTGAACCATAACTTCAATACAGGAAACTATGATTTTTTTTCAGGCCGTGGTGTGAATTCAAACGCCTTGGAGGGAACTGGAGGAGACCGTAATTGGATGATAAGCTTGGGTGCCAAGTATGATGAGTGTTTGTGAACACAGTTTGTGATGCCGATCAACTTATTATTGAGATGATCAGATTGCAAGTGAATTGCGACCCAAGTCAAAAACCAGCTGGAGAATGCCGAATGCAGGAAATTATTTCGATATAACATAGGAGCAAAGTCAATTCTAGATTGCGGATCACAAGACAGCTATTCTCGTTTTTCTTATACACAGGCAGTTGTTGGGACGTCGATATTGGAAATGACGGTAGAACAGAACGGACAGAACCAGGAAGGAAACATCAGAATGAGTTCTACCATTCGTGGTCTTTAAACTGAAACTAACAGGAGATAAAAAGCTCATTCTCAGGCTGCGTAGTAAACATGTGAAATCTCGCACAGGACCAGTCCTTCAAACCTGTAAGCGCAAATATTGAAGCAAGAGGGAAGTGAGGCACAATAGATGGTGATGACATGTATGTAAGACGGGAGGTGCTGATGGTAGTGGTACAATCAGAATAAAGAAATACCCGTCCCTCCACTTAAAACTTTGACTTATATGGGAGAATTGGATAATTGGATGTACTGCCTTTCCTGTTTGAAGTGTGGACAAGTCCTTTATTACATGTGCATGTCACTCAGGAGAATTCTGATACAGTGGAAACGTACAGAAATTACACCGATGTCCGAGCCGGATTTCCAATTTATAAGCCTTCTTCACATGCCTACACGATCAAGACCACACCAACCTCGGCAGAAATCAATGAATCAGATGACTTTGGAAATCGATGTAGCTTGCTTGCATCAATCAAATCAAATTGACACCTTGCTCAATCGAACGAGTAAGTGCACAGGAACTGTGCAAAGAACCAGCAAATTCGTCTGTTCTTAGAAGAGGACTGTTCGGGAGTATGATGCGATCTGTTGGACCGAACCACTCATGCACTCACGCTTGTCATGAGGAGAGACGAGGAAACCGAACCAAATTCGAAATCGGGCACGAGGGATCTCCTGTACAGATCAGGACTGGACCCGGGTTCAGTACAGTAGTTCAGCTTCCTCAAGAAGAAAGCGTGTGGAAGACGCTTCGGCCCCGAAGAGAGGCCGGGAACTGAGCCTCTCGAGTGAGCACATTCCATCGAAGTACACAATTTGTCGGCGAATTTTCCATTCGAGGGATCTGATGAGTTCCGTGATCTGTTCGACCGAATCACTCATCGACGAGCCCTTGTCACGGGGAGAGACAACGAGACCGACCCAAATTTAATTCCAGGCTCGAGGGGCCTCCTACAGTTCGGACTGGACTGGACTGGCCATACAGTCGTTCAGCTTCTTGAGGAAGAAAGCTTGCTGAAGAAGCTTTAGCTCTAGATCCAGGCGGGGAACTAAGCCGCTCACGTGACTAGATTTAATTCTAGTACGTTTTGTTTTGGCCCTCGAGTTGGATCTTGAAGGTTTTTTTAATACTTCGACTTCCATGATAATGAGGGGAGTGTATGGGATTAAATCGCACATAGGAGATTATGTCTCTTGTTAAGATAGAATGCAATAGTAAAGTAATTTGTTTGGTTGTTTTAAATGGTCATTCCTGATATATCCAGTCTATTTGTATTTTTTTTTCTCTTCAGAACCCCACGTCTATTCTCAATAACTTGTCCGGGATAATATATGACCATATTTGAGCCTTATCTACCATGGTTAATGAGTTTCATTCAGAGGATCAATATGGTGGTAATTCAAAAACTTCGTAATTGGTTGCATTAGTCTAAAAAGAATAGAGGTGAGATTTGTAACTTAATTGAGACCAAAATAGCATAAAAAGACGAAGAAAACATCCCATCGATAAAGTAACATGAAACCATTCTGTTTGAAAAGAGGTTAAAAAACGATTTAGGACAATCTATATTGTGTAAATGTACAGTACATTATAAAAAACATGTTCTTAGGGATATCTCGGGGGCAGGAGCGATAGCGATGCTATCGGGGCTAGCACCAAAATGCATCACCAGTGCACCTCAAATGCATGCCATTAGGATCAGGGGTGGAAAAAACCCGATTTTTATCGAAAATAATTTCGGGTTAATTAAAAAACCTGTTTAAACAATGGATTTAATTGATTAAAATTTAATCAATCATCTTAGATTATTAGTATGTAATAAGTAAAGAACAGTGTAATAACAAATAGTTCATGCTTCTAGGAATTCATTATCATTGGATCCATTTGTGTTTTCAAAACGAGAGTCGTAATCAACATCGAATAATTCTGGGCTAGTGATATTCTATGAAAATGCTTCTCACGTTGGCTTGTTTTTCGTCCAGGTTGAATTTTGTAATTTGGTAGATTGAGGACGGCTATTGATTAGATAATTTTTATACTCAAAATCACATTAGTATAATATCTCGCTTGCTATTAAATTTACGATTAAAAAACCGGAATATGCGATTTATAATTGAAATATATTGAAAACCCGATTAAAATATGCCATTAAATTGTTTCGGGTTTTCTAGAAAAACCCTTTTTTATCTCCTTGCAAAAAACCTGATGGTGTCAACCCTGGTTAGAAGTAATCCGAAAGTCCAACCCTTTTGGTTATTCTTCAGTGTGGGGAATCCTCTCGGTCGCGTTCGCTTTCGGAACCGAGGACCGAGTGTTCGTGCCGCTTTCATGATTCCATGCTTCTCCCGTTCACACGATGCCGTCGAAGGACAATCGGGCACGGGAGGATGTGGACCCACGGAGAATAAGACAAACCGAGAGCGGGACCCACCTCCCAGGTAGATTTCTGCCTGTCCACTTAAAGTGAGTCAGCAGCAGCTCTCCCAGTCCCGAGGAGCACCACTCTGCTCTGTCTGCATTAGGACCACATTCCACTGGCGCGCCATATGCTTCCCGGTCGCCGGTCACCGAAACCGGAGCGTTCGTGCCGCCAGGGGGCCCTCCGAGCAGCACCTTCTCTCATTCATTCTCTCGTACGGCATCTTCTCATCCGCCAAAAGCACCCCTGCCTGCCCTCCCCCCGTCCCCCTGCTCACTCCGGGTCTCGGTCGGTCGGTCGGTCGGTCGGTCGGATTCGCAGATTTTGTCGGTCAAGCTTCATCGATTCGGCTGAATTGCCCGCCACGCCCGAGCCTGAAGAGAATTGCGCCGTGAGCTTGACCGAGTTCCGCTCGTTCGGCGAATTCGCGATCAGAGCGCTGGCTGCTCGGTAAGATTCTGCTGCCGAGCTCTCGTGACAGGGGATTGGGATTGGGGTTGGCATTGGGGTGTTACCAATTCGATTTTATTATTTTTCTGATTCGGGATCATTGACGAGTAGTGATTGGGCTCTCTGGTCGCTTGCAACATTGCGGGCATGTCTGTCATCTGCGTGAAGAAGGAAGAGAGAGGGTCCGGAGAAGCTTTCGCTACCTCCTTTGGCGTCTCGACGTCAGAGGATTGTCTGTCCGAGCTTGTGTGCTTAAACGGCGGGACCATGGTTGGAGTTATCCGCAATTGTTATCTAGGATTGGTAGGGGCGGGACTTGGTGCCCGGCCACGGAGAAGTTGGTAGGTGTCGATCCTTGTGCTGGAGAGTTGATCCCAATTGATCACTTCCATACGTCTTCGTGGAAAGGCACGAGAAAGCGACAGGTGACAGATGGAAAGGCTGAGCAGCTTGAATAGGAGGGGTGAAAGAGAGAGAGAGAGAGAGAGAGAGAGAGAGAGAGAGAGAGAGAGAGAGAGAGAGAGAGAGAGAGAGAGAGAGAGAGAGAGAGAGAGAGAGAGAGAGAGAGAGAGAGAGAGAGAGAGAGAGAGAGAGAGAGAGAGAGAGAGGATAAATGCTGTAGGGGTTCATGGATTCAATTGTGGAGTTAAAGTTCCGAGGAGGTGCGTTTCAACTGGGCTTGTTTGAGCTGCGGGGAATCTCGAAGACTGAAGGGATTGGGTCATTCTCTGCGCATTTCTTTTCATCACCGCAGGCCAGGAGTTTCAGGCATCTGCTGCTTGTAGAGGGGCTTGGAGGGTTCTAGAAGTTGGACAGCGATCCCTTTTTTTTTTCCAGTCCTTGTTCCGATTTCGTGCAAACTCCTAACGTTGAGAATTGGAGGCCGTTTTCTCTATCGGAGATGAATGATCCTGGCTCATGAAAACATCGATGTCAGGAAATCCGTCAAGAAGGTTTTGCAACGCTCTGTGCGCTAAGCTTCTCTGAGGGTTGGGATATTGTACCTTGCAATTCGTTTGGTACTGCTTCCTGTTAATTTCTTCTCCAATGGGATGAATCTCATCAATGCGGAGGGCAGGAAGAATCCAATTTGGAAACTTTTGACATAATATGAATCCCGCAGGACCAACGATTTATTGCGGTATAGACCTTCGTAGGAATCGGTGAAGTTCTAAGTGCTAACGTACTAGGGACAGTAAATTATGCATGAGCAATCTACGACGTGGAAACGGTCTGCTGAGTACTAATAGATATCCTCGTAGATTCTACGACATAATAACTCTAGCACTTGGCTTCTTCAACACATGAACTCCAGAACACCACAAGATTTGCACTTGCTTGATTGTTTAACGTCCGCCGTTGTAACACAAAGGAGGACGATGAGGGGAAATGCTCGTTTACAGTTCAGCAAAAAAAAATCTAATGCAGGCGTGCTGTCATGTTGTGATCTACGCAGGCTTCATCAACTGTACATTGATATTGTTCTCATGGGCGGTGAATTCAAGAAACATTTTGGGGCCCTATCTCTTTGCTGAAGAATTGTACATTATTCTTGGACCTTGCCTCCCTGGGGGGGATTTGATGGGAGCTTATCTTCAAATAATCGATGGACTTCCAGATTTTTTCACTGATAGAGAGGAGATACGATATCTGAGTGAATGCGGAAGCGGAACAGGCGGGAGAAGCTTCACCAGCACCCGCGATATCGCATCATCTCTTCAGGTAGCTAAGAGAGAAGCTACCTCGTCGGGTTTACGGGAAATGGGTGAGTGCTCTAGTTTCTGGGCAGGACAGTTGGATGACTGCTTTGACGACCTCCGAGCTCCAAGTACGGAATCACTTGTCATCCAAGTTCCTGCTGGTAGAAAGGGTTACTCGACGAGAGCCGGAAAGATGGGTAGAAAGGAAGGGGACAACTGTGGCTCAAGCAGTCGGATCAACCACAGACACGTTCTAGATAGTGGGAATGGTCCAACCTTTCCGAGAATTGAATTTTCCGAGGGCAAAGCTCAAGAGAGTCCGGCCTTTGAGGGTGATGCAGTATGTAGGAGTGTAGGTTTGTGCGATGCAGGGTCCAGTGGTGTAAGGAATGAAGAGACCTCATATATGGTAGTGGATGTGTTGAACAAGGATGATGCCTCGGTCCAGACCCTTGGTGTCAATGTGCTACCTGAGACTGAATTCGAGGCTTCTCTAGATGTACTAGATGCGGACTTGGACGATTACACAGAGAGATTGCCAGATCATCTACTTACGGAAGTGTTGATCCGAGTTCCAGTGCGAGATTGGCCTGCAGCTGCTGGTGTGAAGAGAAGATGGGGCCATCTTTTTAGAGGCGATGGTTTGTGGCACACTGCTCTCATGAAACAATGGCCCCAAGCAGGCCTTACAAGGCGTTGGCCTGGACCTATATCTCGCGGTTCCAGTAAGAGGTGAGTGTGGGCAGCATCATGGTGGAACTGCAGCAACGAGCGATGCTTGGATATGAACGTAAGCACTTGCTCCATGTTGCAACCGGTGTCCAAATTGTCTACTGAAAAAAGTGCGAAAATTGTGTTTTGCCAACAGGAGGTTCATCGCACTGCACGTCAGTGGAAATTTGTTCATGAAAGAAAAAGTGGATGGTATCGACGAAATAGCCGGTCACGTTTACCTCTTCCTGAAAGAGCAGCTTGAATCATCAACTCCACCTGCGTCCTATGGGCTACTCCATGGCACAATTATAGGTATCGTTTTGCCTACCCATAGCGTTCTCGTATCCTCGTTCATGCCATCAATGCTCTTTAGCGCACAGCCTCTTTCGGAGGGACAGCTGCAAAGGTCTTCATCTGGCATATTGTGACTGCCTACTATGTAGGGTAGCATTGTTCACATTCAAGACTTTCCTTTGAGCTGAGTGTGACCTAATTAAGTTGGGGGGATATTGTCTAGGATGTCGAGGTTCTAAGACGTATTCTTGGAATCTCATCCATTACAGTGTATGAGGATGAGAGGCGCTTATAGCACACTGACTTCGGTGTCTGGTCAGCAGACCAGTTTCTGGCATGCAGTAAAACAGGAGATGAGGCACATGAGTTAGCATCTATTATATGGGTCGCAGTGTTCGACAACTTGGATGAGACTGAGAACACATTTCATCTCCTAATGAGGATTGCTGAAGAATGGGAGGTAAGCACGATTTTGTGGAGATTTTGGTAGCTGGTGTTTCAGTCGCACATAACTACATGCTAGCGCTTGAAAGGTATTGCTATATGAGTTCTTACACAGTTTCGAAAGTTTCAAAAGTGAAGATTGTGAATGGAAATTGACTTGCATTTGTCACTTCCGATGAACCCTTCCGATTGAATGTCCTACTTCGTTCTTATTACAGGCCAGAATTCGCTTAGGATTTTTTATTTCCAGCTATAACCATGTGTCTACATACCAGTTGGTTGCTCGACCTTACCTGCTGTGACCATTCAACGCTCACAGCTGAGAACTTAGCGAAGCTGATATGTGTCTACATAATCTGTTGGCAGGTCTTTCTGCCATATCCATACACAAAGTCCAATGCTGTCCAGTGGCGACTCTTCGAACGATTATTCACCGACTTTCGTGATTGCTTGTCTCAGTACAACTACTTCGACGTACTGACTAGAGCAAAACATAGGTTCGACCTAATTCCCGCGACATGGCTAGGGTACTGAAGATTGCGAATCATAACAGGGCCGCCTGAGTCCAAAATTGTAACGAAATCTTTCTCTGTTCATAGAAACACAGAAAGGTGACAAATGCATCGATGAAGAGCTTGTAATCGCTCTGTCACAGAATCACTACGAACAGGTTTTCATTTTGGCACACGACTGTACTTCGTATATTCTTTTATGCATACCTTTACAGGTTGTACCAGTGACGGATCAGATCCAAGACGATCCAGCGTCTGCATCTGCATCTGCTGAGCTTCGCCGAAATAAGCTTGTATATATAGGTCACAAGTAAGATTATCTGTGTTGGAGAAAGAAGCCACGCCTCAGGACATTTGTCCGACTATATTATACCAAACACATAGAGTAGTCGGTAGTTGGACGTTCATTTTTTGTAATTCATTCATCCGAGTGTCATTCATCTATGGCTTGATCATGGTCGCATGGTCGTTCCGTTGCCTAAGTATTCACGAAAAGATTTGTGCAGCAGACTATGACTTTATGAAGCTTTATGTCCTTGAACTGCTCGCGCCTACAAAGCGTGAATGTGTCGTTCCCGGTTAACCTTCACATTGTCAGCAGTTTCGAAGTCAAGTTGTAAAGTTCACTGAGATGCCAAAGTTCGTGCATACATTATACGAACTGAAAAGTTTAGCAGACGTTGGGCAGTGAGAGTGGAGGTCTCGTACCAGCTCAAAGAAGCTCATGGGGATGCAATCTTCGTTTATGAGTGCACGACGAGAACGCTTGTGCGTAAATTTCTCCATGCAGGACTGTAAGATGGTTTTGTTCCTGTCATTCGACAGTTGTGGATACTTCGATCGTTTCTCGTGCCATTGGTTTTGAAAGTTTGTCGTTGGAGATTAACTATGTGGGCAAATGAAATCTCCCCGTACCCCGTTCTGATGCGTCGATGATTCAAGGAAACAATGTTAAGATGATCAGTTTTGGTGCGCTGGATGTCAGGTCCTGGTTTTGTAAACTTGTAAAATAAACGATGGAATTTTTTATTGCAACTTTCTCTTCTCTCTCATACTTGTTCCGACATCCAGTTTTATCGAGATGTTAGGTTCACATTTCTTGTGGCGAAAGGTCGGACCATCTACACTGTCGCTTGAGCATGTTCTTCAGATGAAGTCAACTTCAAATTGTGATTCCTCTTTCAGGACGGCTTCTGCTTTATCGAGACAGTATCAGAGCGGGGGATTTGTGTGAGTAGAGAACGTCGGGTGGAGAGATATTGATTCTCAAAGGTCTATTCTGGTATTGTATACACTGTTGACAACATATGGCTTGAACATCGAGATTACGGGAACGTATAGAGCTCAGTGGACACGCACTGCATCCCGCATGCGACAGGTATGACACGAAAGTGCATCGGGCTAAACGGACTGCTTGGATGACGAAGCAAGACCTAGATTTCACGTACATTTCAAGAGGCTGTGACTGAGTGTCCGTTTAGTCTAACAGCTGATTTCCTTTCGACTTTTGAAGCAAACATGTTTGAAACTCTACAGGTGCCGGTACAGTTCCCACGTTTAGATGAGGAGTCCGTTTAAATTGCCAACGACGTCAAATACAACGAGGTCATCCAACTGAATGTTAAATCGAATAATGTCTGGGCAAAGACATGAAGTACAAAGTTGAACGTATACGTTCATTCTTACTTTTCTGAAATTCGTTTCCTCACTTTTAACAGAAGATCTAAATCTAGATGTGAGGAATTAGAATAGATGCACTTCTAGTGTTCGAGACGTCGGAGCAGAACGACAAAAGCGTAAGAGCTTACCGCTAATAGTTCTCTGCGCAACATCTTTCACACATATTGATGCATTCTGATTCGCCGTGAAGAGTGCACTGTTCACATCTGACTAGACGTGAGGAATGTCGTTCTTGAGGGTCTGACGATAGGAGATCAAGATATCCGCACAGAACTACAGTACTGTCTGGCTAGTTTTGACAGAAATGCCCATATGCCGATATATTCAGGGGCGATAATTTTTACCTCTCACGCCGTCTGGAAACAGACCATTCCCTAGATGCAATTTCGGAAGTTTACAGACCTCCATGTTGAAAGCGCGGTACCTACCGAAGCTGCAGGTTAGACTGTGGCTGTTTCTGCACTGGACTCGAAGACGAAGTAGAATGGAGCACAGAATATGGAGGTGAAATTCATGTCATCGATGCCTGGGATTTTCAGAAGCAACTTATGAGCCAGCATAGTTACCCCAAAATGAAAACCTAACACATTGAAAGTGGACTAGACAGCACTGAGACCAAGCATTCACCCTTTCACTGATCAGTGAAGAATAAGCTATTTTCATTTTTTGAGTCGATCCGCATATTTGTGGGATTTTGTTTTCGAGAAAAAGAATTGATCTCTTGCTCACTCGGGACCCTTACAGTTTTGATCAATTGGGTCCAGAGCTACAGAGTAGTGTCGTAATCGTGACCTATTTATGCACTGTACAGGGCTATACGCCATAGCTATTCCGAACTATATAGTTTGAGATACGAGTGAGCTAGCTTGAGCCAATCGAAGTTCCCCATGAAGATTTTCAGGGTGGAGGTCTAACACGCTGCGCACGTCAGGCCTCGTCCTTCATCGTCCACACGGATACAGAACGTTGGCCTCTGAACGCACTTGCACTCAGAGTTGCAGGAACAGCAGTGAAAAAAGGAAAACTCTATGTTCTTCAACTTGAGACGCACTCTTAAAAAACTTGCACAAGATGGCTGCGTGATTCCTTGCAAGTGTCCGGTGTCCTTCATACCTAAATACTGACGACCCATGTAGCTCGCAATCCCATGCATGGGCATCTCGAGAGCTGGGCTCCTTCTAAGTCTAACAATTGCACGAAAGGTGGTGGGCTTTCTCAGATAAAACACAAAGTGGCACTCTTGGTCGTGATCTCCCCGGATGTCGTCGATCATCATCACCGAAGAGGTCGAGAGTGCTCACAAAAATAGGTTCTGTCAGTTGTTGTGGTTGTAACGTAAAACTGCAGAGACATTGAGAAACAACCACCGAAAGAATCGAAAGAAAATGATGAACAAAGTCCGGTGCAGCACTAGAAGTAATCGAAGCGCGAGCTCTCGTTGTGACCATCGTCCCCAGCTGCCACAACCCCGGTCGCAATCGCGGGCGTATCGAAGTTTTTGCTCTTGGCATCAGCAGCAGCAGTGAGAGCGGCATGGGCAGCCACGGCAGCAGCAGCCGAAGCAGCCTTGTTGCCTTGAGGACTGTCATCCTTCGTCTGACTGCTAGGCCTGGGAATCTGGGGAGGAAGCGTGCACCGGATCAGCGCCCAGTTGATGCCTTCGAAGAACGGATGCTGCTTGATCTCCGTGGCCCCTCGCTTCGACGCCAGCCTCTTTTGTGGGTCTTTCACCAGCAACGCCTTGATGAGCTCCTTAGCGGTGGCGTCCACCTCTTTGAAGTAAGGGTCGCCCTTTTGAGGAAACTCCAATTGTTGCGACACCACATTCACGAGCGTGATCTCGTTGTCCTCGCCCTTGAACGGAGTCCGCCCGTACAGCAGCTCGTAGAGGAAAATTCCGAAAGTCCACCAGTCCACGGCGCTGCCATGGCCATCTCCTGCGATGATCTCAGGCGCCAGGTACTCGTGCGTGCCGACGAACGACATGGATCTCACTCCCGTCGGCTCGGCGATGAGCTCCGGCAGCTGGATACTCTGAAGGTTGAAAGATTCAGAGTTCCTGCTCGTGGACTTGCTGGCGGATTTGCTGAGTCTCGGCTTCCATTTGGAGCTCGGAGGCTTCGAGGGCTTGGGCTCGCTGCCGTGATCGGCCTTGTGAGACCTGCTGCGCAGCGGCATGCACGAGGTGGGTCGATAGCACGACATGTCCCTGTCGTATGGCTCCGGGGCGGCGTGTGCAATCACCTTCGGGGCGACCACAGGCACCGGCGGCGGATTCATGTACATGATGAGCGTCGGACAAACCGAACACCTCAGAGACAAGTCGAAGTCCGACAGCATGACGTGCCCGTCCCCTCGCACCAGCACGTTCTCGGGCTTCAGATCGCGGTACACCACTCCCATCATGTGCAGATACTCCAGCGCCATCAGCACTTCTGCTGCGTAGAACCTGCACATGCGCACACGCCGTGTCCGTCAAATCTCCCAACTCTTTCCGCTCCTTTACCTCATTGCCTCGTAAAGTGCAGGTACACGAGACCCATCGTGCACGCAAATCTAACGACGGGACGATATCCATCTCCTCACAGTTTCGATTGGTTCTGCTCATTGACCAGATGGCGGACCTGCCCACAGCTGCTCGACAATCGTCGAGCAGAAAGACCGACGCCAGCATAGTTCTGCAAACCACAGCTTCCTCGGTCGCATCGTTGGCTCGAGCAGCGATGAGACATGAAATGGCGTGCTACGTCGAGAGCTGGTTGAGGTACAGCAGCGTATCAGAGCCGCCCTGCCCTTTCGACGTGAAACTGGGATGTGTGTACGTGCACATTAAATTTCCGAGCGATCGAGACTTCTGGAAAGCAACCATAATTGGCGAATTTAATCACGAATGATTACGTCGGACAAATCTGGCGAAGGGTCGGCCCGATCCATAATAATACATACACAAGAGGTCCGTAAAGGCTGTGCCGGAGAGTCTCGTGATCATGCACCCAGTCAGTCTCTCGAGAACATGGAGATAGAGAGGGAGAGAGAATTCAGGTGCCGTCATGATTCGTGGGTGGCACCAAACAACAGATGCGCAGCGCATGCACGCCTCGGGGGAGGGGAGGAAATGAGATCGAGGAGCGAGGGCAGAGCGACTCACCGGGCGGACTTATCGGTGAAGCAGCGGCCGACTTGCTTCTGGCGGAGGGTGTGGAGGTCGCCGCCGGAGCAGTACTCCATGACGAGGCAGAGGAACTGCGGGGTCTCGAAGTGAGCGTAGAGCGTGGGCAGGAAGGGGTGATCGAGCGTGGACAGAATGTCGCGCTCGGTCTCGGCGCGCATCTGCTTGCGCCGCGAGGCCAGAGAGCCCAGATCCATGACCTTCATGGCGAAGCGGAACTTGGTGCCGCGCAGCTCGGCCAGATACACACTGCCGATGTCGCCGCACCCGAGCCTCTTCATGAGCTTGAAGTGGTTCAAGCCCACCTCGCCATCCCTCTCCCTCACCTGCTGTATGGCCTCCCAGCCCGCGTCGTTCGCCTTGTGCGGTTTGTGCGACTGCGACAGCTTATTGTTCTGCTGTCTGAACAGGTCGTCGAGGCTGATTCTCCCCTTGCGATCTCTCCGGCTCGAGCTTATGCTCGACCTCCTCGACAAATCATCCCCTCCCCCTCCTGCTGCTGGCAACCCAAACCCCCGGCCCGAACTTGCCGCCGACCTCAAACTCGAATCCGAGCTTTCGAAGCTGCGCTCCGCTGGATCCTGTTTTCGCACTGCCACCATATTCCTCGCTTCACAATTTTCGCCTCGCGCCCCCCTTGCACCAGATCTGCTTTCCTTCCTGTGTTGTGTTCCTGAGGTTGTAAGGACGAGGCACAGCAAACTGCAAGTGTAGTTCTCGCGGGGATGAGAACCACAAAAACCGTAAGGAGCCGGCGGGCCCGTGGAGATTCAAACAAGTGCGTCACGATTTTCAGCCTGTTGCGCCATCACGGTCCATGCAGCGCACCCCGCAGTCGCTTGAATTCCACTGGCTTGCACTGAGCCTGCTGCTGCCTCGAGTCCTGCAATCGCTGGGGTCACTGAATCACCGCTCGTCCATCATCTATGAGCTCTAAGCCTGCGGGCGATCGTCCAGCCCCGCTCCGAATCAACGCACGCGCATTCTCTCCTTTCCGATCTGGATTCCAACGCTGGCGCTGCTGGCCTGGCCGCCAATCGGTTGCGGGCTAGGCTAGATCTTCGAACCTGTGCGTCTGATCGACTGATTGATTGATTCACTGCTCGGTCGTTCGCTTACTGCCGAGGGTCCAATCGTGCTAATGCTCCGTAGAAGTGTCCCCGTCTTTGTCCGAGACCTGACGACCGTCGGCGACTCCTCTCCAGCATACGCATGAGCTCAAATCCAACACCTTCCGCACGCACTCGCAGGCACTCTCGACGCCTCGCTCGCACACGTACGTCCGAATTGCCTGCCTGCCTGCCTGCCTGCCTGCCTGCTCGCGCCTATCGAGTCTCCAGAAGACGATGGGGAAGTTGCTTACTACTCTCTAATGTCAATCCCACGCTAATCGCTGGAGTCCTGTCCTAAATTCAACTAGTTGTTTTAACTATGGGGTGAATTACTGCGCACGGGAAAGTTCAATGATGCATATGCGTCTCAGCAATGGAAAATCGGTCGATGCATGAGTGTACACTACGCTGCCTGCCTGACTAGATTGAATCTCGACGTCTGGTAGTGGTGGAATGTATAAAACTGGCTGGGGAAAGCACAAGCGCGCGCCTAATCCAGGGCCTGCAGCGGAAAGCCAGCAGCGGTTCGAGGCTACGCACGAGATGGAAGAAGAAGGGAGAGAGGGAGAGAGGGAGAGAGGGAGAGAGAGAGAGAGAGGGAGAGAGGAAGGGGAGGGGAGAGGAGAGAGGGACGGACGGGGAGGAGACGAGACGGGAGAAGAGGAGGAGGAGGAGGAGGAGGAGGAGGAGAATGTGGGAGGAGAGGGGAGCGCTTGCTACGAAGACAAGTGATGCGATCCGAACTTGGGAGGAAGCAATGAACGACTGTTGCGCTCAGATTGTGAACCAGAGGAGGTGGCGAGGAGAGGAAGTTGAGACAGACAAGTCTACAGCAGCAGCAGCAGCAGCGACGACGACGACGACGAAGGCGGTTTGGATGGACATAATGCTTGCAGTATCTTCCTGCACGGCTGCTACTGCTTCGGCTTTCGCATCAGCACATCGATATCCTGCAGCAATCATTTTCCCCCAACAAGCGCTGCCTGCTTTCTTCCTTCTGCACCAGTACTGCTACCCAGCCAGCCAGCCAGCCAGCCTCTCACCTCTCAGCAAACATATCTCTCCCCCTCTTCCTCCAACTATTTTGTTCCTTGTCTGATTTGCCCTTCCCCTCAGCAAAACCCCCAATCCCTCGCCCCCACCTTTTCCTCTCTCTCTCTCTCTCTCTCTCTCTCTCTCTCTCTCTCTCTCTCTCTCTCTCTCTCTGTGTGTGTGTCTGTGCTCCCCTTCCTACAGTGCTTCCGCTACTGCAGGCCCTCAGCTGCATTCCTCAGTTTCTACTCCTCCCCGCCCCACCCTCGCCATTCGCGCAGCTGCTTCAGGAAGTCAGAAAATCTCTGAGCTTTCCTCCATCGTACCACCCCTTCTGATTTCTCCCCTGACTGCTACGATTTCCTCCCTCGCGATCCTCGCGCTCCTCGCGCTACACCCGTCATGAGCCAGGCAAATTCCAATCACGTCTCTCCCGGAGTGTTCGTTTCCACTCCGTTCTCCTGGACTTCAGTCGCCATCACTACTGCGTCCACGGTGCTCTTGCTTTTCTTCACTCGTTTTCCAGCGCGACCATTTCCTCATACCAAACGCAACTCTCTCTGTCTCTCCCCTCCCGGCCCCACAAGGGCACGACCCGGGCCTCCATTGGAGGTACGCTCTGGCGGATCCGACGCAACCTTCGAGCCGAGGGGGCAGTTTTCTCTTCCCGGCCGGGGACAGGAACTGGGCTCTGGACCACTCCCATCGGCGACGACGTTGCCAAGTGGACGCCACACGGTTCGACGTCGACCGCGTTGGGATGCTGAGGTAGACGTTCGCCCAATGGGGTGAGGGTACGGCCGTTACTCCGTGGCGTGGCGGGAGTGAGGAGGACATCGGGTGTGATGACTCGGATGGATCGGAGAGCGGGGCCGCCCGTCGCTCTCAAGATTCGCCATGCCGATGTGGCATCGCGCCAAGTCAGTTCGAAGGATAACACTTCTCTCGTCGTCGTGGTCGCCGGTAAGGACTGCGTCGGGGGGAAGGACTCGGCGAAGCCTTTCCTCCAACATCCTGTGAAGCTTTAGGACTTCCTAACGATCCGCCCTCATTCTCCGTCCTTCTCTAATTTCCTCCTCCCTTCCATTCTTTGGCCCGATTCTCCCACAGCACCGTGCGGTCCTCTCCTAAACTCTCCCCTCCTCCCAACCGTTTCCAGAGATCTCTCCTTCCCAACGGGATCGACGCCGTCCACTTTACCGGCGAACGGGAAAACGTCTTCCCGCGTCTCTGAGGTAGTCAGTTGAAAGCCGAGTAAATACCCGCCCCAACCATCACCAAGTTCGTGGGTACGTTTGACTCGAAGAAATCGGATGGATCCGTCAGATGAAGCGCATCTACGGCCGGGAGGGCTCCATGCAGCCCTCGGGATGCTGCCCTCGTGGGAAGTTATAGCGGGCCCCCTGAATGTCGCCAGGAGTTTATCCGACGTGAGCCTTGTCTAATCTGGCGGGTAAAAGTCGGTCGCGGAGTTCCAGGCCCGTGAGGAACTAACTGTACAGCTCCCTCTGTCGAGCTCACTGGAGCAACAGCGACATAGCGGCCCAGCTACTTTCACCGAACTGCGTATTTTTGGCTCCCCACTAACTATTTGGCGAGGATCTGACTGTCAGAGAGGTTGACTTTTTATGCCGTCTATTCCTGGTTCATCGTATGACGTCGATCTTAATATAACGGGACGACTTCTTCCGGCTCTGCTCGTTCCTTGTTATGTATATGTCCCCCACACCGTGGCGCTCTCGGACACGCGATCCATAGTTGCTTCGAATTCCACCCCGTACCTATTTTGTTCTGTGTATTCTCTGTCACTGTTTAAAATTCTGTATACGCTATTCCGTATCTCCATTTTCCTGATCTCGTTCCTGGCTGGGGACGGGAGTGAAGCGATAAAATGTTGAAAGCTAGCAACAAAAACTAACCTGACAGAATAGGAATAGGAAATATTAATATCTGATAATGAAAGCGCAGTGAGAGAGAGGAGAAGATGCCTTCACTTTGATGTCAAGATAATTACTTAGGAGATGCATGTGAAAGGAAGAATATTTACTTCTGTTTAATGACAAAATTAATTACATCGAGAAAGAGCAGACTTTCTTGAGATAGTTATAGCATGACGGAGATTATTCAGGTTTTAAGTCAAACGATATGCAGTAAATAGTAAGCGTTTAAAGAGAAAGATGCGAACTACTTCGAATTTTCAATTCATAATGTGTGGTCAAAAAGTCCAAAATAGTAACAGGTGTTGAAAACTTGGTCATTAATGCCATTACATTCTTGGCTGGATTTTGTTACATATTAACAATCTCGAAGATGTCAAATTTTTGAGTATATATATTTATAGTAAATTTATTTTCTTATGCATATAAGATTATTATTTACCTAGTGTCTATTCTATCACCATTGATGATAGGACATCCTAATCTTGTGAATCAGAAATCGGGGAATTTTTTCTAAACCAAAGAGCATTCCGGAGGATTCCGACCTGTTTTAGCACTAATTTCATTTAAGTAAGATTTGTTATTTGTTGCAGAATGAATTGTGAAATAAGTTCTCGGTATTTTTCATCAAATTTCTATATACACTCAAAGCGAACTATCCTCAAGTACAGTTGATTCGTTTCCTGAATCATATCAATTGAAGACCATTAAAAAAAAATTCATTCAAAATCTCATTTTAAATTGTAACTATGAGTGATATTCTATCGAATCCAGTGTAATATTTTATCGTTCTTAGAACCTAAAATGTAGATCTTCCTCTCTTGAGCTTCGAAGTTGTATTTTCAAGCGTGAACGTTTATTTTCCAGTAAGTTGTGCTTACCTTAAAATATTATTTTGCAAACAACCTTGATATTATACAAGCACATATATTCTAGACTCTAAATTGAAGGATTCAGGTCGAGAAAATTACTGGAACTTACACTATGATACAACTTGTCATGCGTTTATGTTGGTAAGAGGTTACTCTTGTGTGAAACTCAGGAGAGGACTGATCAAGTTTTTACTTTGTGAGAACGTGCACTTCGTAGTTTCTTCTTCTCAGCTAATTATAAGAGCTGAATTTTTGTAAATCAGACTCTTTAAATAGAGAAGCTATGGTGCAAATCTCAAATTTAGCCATGCTGTGCATTCCGATAGGAGTAAGAACATGCTTACATCCCAAATAATCTCTATCCTTTTCCTCGAGTTGCACATGGTACACTTTAGGGCCCATATTATATGCTTTTGGTGCCTATATACCAATCTGGTCGGACGATTAGTCCCAACAAGGCAGTGAGTAATTGGTGATTTGGAATAACGGATAATTTTGTAAGATTTGTAGAGGTATAGCCTTCTTCTTTGTATGAATCACTAACTAGACAAAAACATGAGGAATCCCCGCCTTAGATTACTAGGAAAGAAGTCTGTGCAAACATGAGAGACAAGGGAATCAAAACACCCAGAATGTGTTTGGTGGCGCTAACTTCTCTCGAAGCATGTTCCAGCAACTATGCTTCGTGTTAGTCTGATGAGTTGATGCGGCACTGGATTTATCATTCGAAGACCTCATGGCCTTTGACAGTGTATGGTGACCATGCAACTGTCTCATGAACATTCCCATTTGAAAATCCACGTCTATTCTTTGCATTTGTTTTATGCGTTTGTAGAGTTCACTTTTTCTTCAAACTCTATATCTGAGAAAGGTTTCTATCATATTGTGCTCAGTCAGAACAGTTGATTCAAGGAGGATGGACAGTGACGAACTTGGAGGTTTTAGATCATATAGCAACGAAGGCAGAACATATTTTTACTTGCAATCCCATCATTGCAGACACATCTTCTTGTTCAGATTCAATGTCATGTAAATCAAAACATCCCCGAGAGGGTATGCTGGTTTTCTTCAATTATACCTTGTGGTTTTTCACACAGTTATGCCGTGTGTATAGTAATGGAACACTAAGGCCTGAAATCTCGAATGATACGAAACATCGAGAGGCATGCTAAAATGTACCATTTTGCCTTCACAAATCTTCCTCCTGTGTTTTGTGAAAGTTTTGTCGTACGAGCTCAAATTTCAATGCAGTACTAAGCATATCCTACAGAAGAGGTATTTAATGCAGCACGCATCCAAGACATCTTACATTTTCGAGTACTGATCAAGACAAAGCCTTAAATTTACGTGTGACATTCACGAGGAGTAGGTTCTGCCATGTGCGAGTCAAACTCAAGAGAGAATGAGCCGATTGATTGCAGATAACTTTAATGTTTGTCTTTCAGGAAACCCTTGATTGCAACAATCTGCTAAGCACCATCAATGTCTTGAACGATAATGTTTATCTTAGTAACCCCAGAAACTCTACAATTCGAAGCAGTATATACTTTAAATTATTTACTCTGTTTGTTCTGCTCAGAAGTCGCTCTGAGGCTGAGATGCGATGAGTCAAATCATCGACTCTTTGTGCCTGCGCTTGCGTTCCCGGGTCATCAATCACAACACTTCACATATCTCTGTCGCCTCGAACGATCCCTCGGAAGGAAGTCATTCATATATCTTAATTCTGGAATATTTATATGTCCACGCGAGCTTCCTCCGGAGATGCGAGTGATGCTCTTCACGTAACTCTATTCTGCTTCGTCGTTGTCTGGACTGCCTGCAGATGCCTCGACCTCGCGCCATCGAGAAGGGCCTGTCCCTGAGCCTGTAGTTGGAAGGACGGGGGGGCGGACCTCGTCGCAGCCTATTCACGCGGGCAGTGAGGGGATGATGGATCGCCCGTCGCCCCTCGCGACAAAGCTTGCACTGTGACGCGACTGTTGTGAGGCCAGGGGCCACGGGAAGAAGGTCGCCTGCGGAGGGCGCGACCGACGGCGCAGGGAGCCTCGAGACGCAGCTGCACCTCCTGGGGCCCAGCAGCGCTGGCGTCCCTGAGACTGAGGATGCGAATCCGTCGTTAGGCCCGTCGCCGGATAAGTCGTGCCAGTGGCCCGATTCGTGCCGGACTCGTGGCACGAAGCTCCTCTGGTTGGCCATACTTGGGGGTCGCTCCCGCCCCGCCACTACTGTCCCAGGCCATTTCGGGCAAGTCCGTGGCAGCGCCCCAAGTCCCTTCTCAGCTCGCGGCGTCAGCGCCAGCAGCACGGGGTGCGTACACGTGGGCATCCGGCGGCCTCCCGGCTTTACCACGAACTCTGGTTCCCCACAGTGGCCAAGCGCGTGGGACCTACGTGGTGATCTCCCGGCTCAGACTTCCTTCCTTCCTTCCTTCCTTCCTTCCTTACTCACTCACTCACTTACTTACTACCGCCACGGTGACCGAGCCCGCCCGGTCACGGTAGACCGGAACGAGTCCGAACGACGGGCGACCGAGGGTCCGACCTCAACAGGACGACGCACGCTTTGTCGCGATCGTGGTCTCTTGCCGGTTTCTCGTCCGTTACAGTCTGGAGTTTCCTCGGTACAGTCGACTTCGGGTTTATGGCACCGGGAGGAG